TGAGCTATCTGTTTATGTGTTGTGTGATCTAAGGGTATTTGAAAGGTGTAATTAGCAAGATTCTGAACGAATTTGGCTGTAATTTTTTGTTTGATTCATAGTGCCTTGATCATGGATTCGATTGAAAGTATTTTAATATGCTGAAAGAGATAGTGGGATCTGTCAAATTTAGTAAATTTAGCAAGAAATTTAGCAATGGCTTCTATACTAGGTGTGCTTGAATTGTACAAGTATAGTTTTTTTTTGGGGGTAAGAAACACAAGATTGATTCTAGTTAGTACTCTTAAATCTCGTTTCAGTTACTGTACTTGATTTTTGCTGTCAAAAACTCTTTGTTTTGCCATGATGTTGGCACTCGTAGTTCCATTGTAAATTATCTATGCTAGTTCTGCAGTATTATTTATTACTGGCCCTACAAATTTCATACTTTTGAAATTTGTAATTCTGTTTATATCAATTCTTGATTTAACTCTACTCAAGCAAGCATCATTTTGTACAATATTTACCGATAATAACTTAGCTATAAAAAACTTGTGTAACCCTGAACCGGGACTAGCAGAAGTCTACAATTCAGGAAGAAAAGCTTACTCATTTAAATCAGCAGGATAATTCTTAGATCTAGTCTTTAATATTGGCCTGCTTCCTTCCAAACAAATCATTTTAGCAACATCTTCAGGAGCCTTGGTGTGGGTGTGGAAAGCTGGAATTCCTTCGATCATCTGAACTTGCACAAGACAGGGATATTTGGTCAATGAAAATCGAAGTTAAACTAATCTGCATAATATATAATATCTAACAGGAAAACAAGATTAATATAGCCAGGATGTCAACCAGAGCATGGGAAAATGGCAAGCTATAACAGGATCAGTCTCTCAAACATTTCTTCTGTAATTTCTACCACAGCAATCATAGAAGCTTGATATTCAACTTATGAGCAAGGAAGAAGCCAAAAACAAATTATTCTAGTCGTAAATCATCATCAAATTTTCCTTGTTTCCTTTTCTAAACTTTCTATTTTGGATACTGCATGCGTCTACGGATAGAGCGATCTGCACACCTGCATGCATGCTAGTAGTGAATACACACTGTACCCAAATGGTTGTTAGTAGTGAACTTGGGCAAAGATCCTTATGATTCAAACTTCCTGATAAACCTTGATCATATGTTTTAGGATGTGAGTCATATATTACTAGAATGGTTGCAAAAAAAACTGAGCAATCCATCGGTGTTAATCTGTGCTAATTCGATAAAGTAAAACCCCAACAGCATCTGGTGCAATTTGGAATTTTAGAAAAAAATAGGGCATCAAATTTAAACTAAAATTAATAGTAGAAAATCATATATCATAAGAAAAAAAAAGAAGTAACAATATTATTCAGTCATAATGTATATAAAAAATATAAATTGAATAAATTTTATCCTTATGGATGAAATATATTTTAGGTACATAATATCTTGAAAATATAATGCTTTAACAACCTAACAAAAAATAATTTCTTGTCAGTTTCAGTTCTTTTTTTTTATTATAGTTCTCTTCAATTTCAAATATTGCATAAAGTTTTGATTGGTATGAAAGTTTTATTAGTTAAATCATACCTGTGTGCACCTTTATTGAACTCCTGGAAGGAAGCAAGAGTAAGTTTGTAGTCGCCATAGGTTTATCTTTGCTGTACAGAAGAATGCAACTTACTGTTAGCATCAGTCATGGGATTCACTAGCTTGTATTTGTCATGAGATATTTTCAACATCATTATCGAGCCAAAGCCTGCCACCTTCGACCGATCACAATCATCTAGCAAAATATTTTTGGCACCTTACTGTAAATCATTATCATATAGTAGACAACGAGTAGCTATGAACGAATGATCTCAGCTACCTGATCAAAGTTCAGACAGTGGATAATCTTACTTTGGTCTCAAGTGAATGGATTATTGGGTCTGGTTTGCACTCATAAAGATAATTTATGCCCCTGAATCAAAAAAGAAACCAATACTTTGTCAAGAAGAAATTCATTTTTCATATTGATTTGGTTCGCAATTTGTTTTACGTTATATAATCTTTTTAACTCTCTAACACCCATGTTAATAAGATTTGACATAGTTTTACGTTAATTATCGGTGAGTTAGCGTAACCCTACATATTTTTTAATCTAGTCTTGGGGCTCACATCGATGGCGCTATTTTACAAGTCTTAAATCGGGATACATTGTGAAAAGCTTCTTAAGCTTCCGAGAGGAATACATAATCTTAAGAATTTACATGTTTTAAAATTAGCATATTGTACAAAGCTTCAATGTTACCTATTTCGGTCACCAACCTTGTAAATCTAAGAGAGTTTGATTTGGAAGGTTGTCAATGGCTTATTGAATTACCTGAGGGTTTAAGTAACATGAAAAAGCTGATAGATCTCAACGTGTATAGATGTCCATTGAATCAAATGCCACATGGAATAAATCAAATGAATAACCTTGTGAAATTTTCTGAACATATCATAGTTGGTGGTCTTGGAAATGTTTTCTCAGAGTTGCAATCATTGATGAATCTAAAAGAACTAAGTCTACAAAATCTCGAACAAGTGTCAAATTCAGAAGATGCTTCGACTCCTTTAAAATTGTTTGATATACTCCCACAACTCATATATTTGAGGTTATATTGGAAATGGGACAATATGGATGACATGAGAACCTCCAAATTGGTTTCGCTACAAGTACTTGAAAGCCTCCAACCCAATTCAAACTTAAAAAAATTAGAGATTATTTTATATGCTGGCAAAGAATTTCCAGTATGGATAAAAGAGAGGTTTGACTATCACCACAAGTTGAAGAAGATCAAACTAATCAATCTCAAGAGATGTAAAAGGCTACCATCACTCGGAGGACTACTCGAACTTGAGATTGTTGAGATAAGTGGTATGGATTTAATCAATGTTGTGGATGAAGTATTCTACGGTGAAAATGGAACATTTCCTAATTTGAAAATATTCATATTGTCCAATATGGCTGCATTAGAAAAATGGCTAAAGGTGGAGAGAGAAGAATCTTTATTCCCGAAACTTGGTGAGTTGACATTAATCCAATGTCCAAAATTCAAAGCTTTAGAGGTGGATCTGAAGGTCTCAAGACTGAGTATTTGGTTGAACAATAAGATGCTGCGGACATCTGAATTCAAGGGTTGGCACAACCTCCGATTTATAAGGGACTTGGAGATAGTTGGAAGCCAAGAGATGAGGTGTTTGCCTCAGGACATGGAACGATGTGATGGACTTGAGAAGTTGAGAATTATCGGATGTGACAATTTGGACTGTTTGCCGGAGTGGCTGCAAGGATTTGAACGTCTGGATTCTTTATATATATATATGGCTGCAGAGCTCTATCATCATATATATATAAATAAATCGATCAGATCAATTTTACTGAGACAACAAATCGACAATGAAATCTCACTAGATCACATTCCGTGTCAATCCATTCCCTCTTCCACGCACAAGAAAAGCAAGTAATATTTCCCGGTGAAACAAAGATATGGCAGTCATGTAAGATTCCTTCACCACGTACATGAACCTCAACGTTCTTCTCATCTCACCTCACCTTCTGCTGCCCCTACATAAGCTCGCGCCATCTCGGCTTCCCCATCATCTTCATCCGACAAGGCAAGACATGGAGGAGAACGTCTCTTCGGAGGGGTCGTCAAGGGCGGACCAGCGCGACACCAGCGATCACGCCGACCTTGCCATAATCCGACAAGGCAAGACACTGTAGCACTAGATGATGATGCTGATTAACAGCAGCATCACGCAACTCATCATCATCATAATCTAGTGCTACAGTGTCACCATCTTCATCAACATAGGTAAGAACAAGATCAGCTTCTGGACTGAGTTTGAAGAGGTTAATAATCTCCTTTCGGAGTCCAGTCATGTTGTCATCTATCATCTCTCCATGGACGTAGGCATTAAACCGCTTAAGCGTATCACCATACTTCACCTGGAAAGTACAGACGGTTGAAATGTATAAAAGGGAAAAAAATAAGACAGACAAACAAACAGACAGACAGAGACAGACCAAAGGCAGTCCATTATGGTAAGGAAGATCAACTAAAGTGCCTTTTTGTTTTTTTGCCGGCTTCCTATTCCATAGAACAAGCTGACAGAACTCAGCTTGAGACAAGGTCACGCAAGACCATGTCCATGCTAATACACTATTAAGCATTTTCAAAAAGTCCAAGTCTCTCACGAGCAAAAACAAAGGTGGAACTCATTTCTTATTTCACCAGGAAAAACGTGTCGAACCATAAACAAAGGTGGCCTAGTGCACCAACACATGGTTTAAGCCTTTAAGGAGAGTCAAAATATGCAATCATATCCATGTAGGCAAAGTGAATATTTCTGGACTGGAACTCCAGTATCTTCATTTTTCATATTGATTTGGTTCGCAGCGTGAGAATTTGTTTTACGTTATATAATCTTTTAACTCTCTAACACTCATGTTCATAAAATTTGACATAGTTTTACATTAATTATCGATGAGTTTACAGTAATTCTATATATTTTCTAATCTAGTCTTCGGGCCAACATCGATAGTGTTGTTTTAGTATAATGCTTGAAAAACATCTTTGAACGAATAATGCTAATGAGCCATATATATGTTGGATGAAAGATGTTAATAGTCCTCTTCCAAAAATAAAAATGTGGAGGGAGAAATTTGAACGAATAATAGATTGGTTTTAATTTTCCTTTTGTTCTTTGGCACCTCTTCAAATTACTAATCACTTTGTTATTTTGTGTTTCTCGAGTATAATATAAACAATCATATATATATATATATGTAAATTTTTTTGGATCATATTTGATTAGATGTGACATTCAGAATGATTGAAGATCAAACCCAAACAAGAACAAGAAGATGAGCATTAACGAAACTGTTGCGATCGATCAATCAATCAAACACGAATGGCAAAGCTGTAGAATGAGTACTACTACAACACACAGCTAGAGAACACCAATCTACCGCACGCCATGCATCTGCTTATTCTTCTTCTTCGTTGGTCTCACTGCTTGTCCGTCCCCTTCTGCAACTTACCTTTGATCCATTGAAACCCTGTGCTCGATCCCTCCTTCACCTTCTTCAAGCCCGACGAAGCCACGGTCTTCGTCTTCTCCAGTCCTTTCTTCAACCCTCCACCGCACTTCTTGTTCTTCTTCTCGCTCTCCTCCTTCCCCTTGGCGAGGTCGGCGTGATCGCTGGTGTCCCGCTGGTCCGCCCTTGACGACCCCTCCGAAGAGACGTTTTCCTCCATGTCTTGCCTTGTCGGATGAAGATGATGGGGAAGCCGAGATGGCGCGAGTTTATGTAGGGGCAGCAGAAGGTGAGGTGAGATGAGAAGACGTCGAGGTTCATGTACGCGGTGAAGGAATCTTACATGACTGCCATATCTTTGTTTCACCGGGAAATATTACTTGCTTTTCTTGTGCGTAGAAGAGGGAATGGATTGGCACGGAATGTGACCTTGTGAGATTTCATTATTACCTGTTGGGAGAATTTTTATCATTTATAAGTTCTATGTTCTTACCCTTCATTTCTCACTTCTATTTTATTTTTCTCTCAATTTTTTTCTGAACAACTTTCTTTTTATTCCCCTCCCTAAATTTTCTTTTGGTATAATATCTTTTTGGCATAATTTTCTCCAAACAAATTTCTTTTTATTTCCCCCCTATTGGTTCTTGATTCAAGTAGTTATCCACGTGGCTATCATATGCGTCGGATGCTTATGATACAAAGGTGTTGATTATGTGCAGTCCACGTTGGCTTGGGCTACTCGATGTGTCAGACACGTGTCATCTACATGCTCATCGCTCGTGCGACACTTTCACCATCCCTACCCACCCTCTTCACACGTCAACCTTTCTTTCCAAAAGGAAATCCTTCCATCCCACTACTTTTAGGAGTTGATTACGTGTCACCCCCAAATATAATGTCGGATAACGCTTGATTGAAATCACAATGCTCAATACCCAAAACATAAACATTGACCGAGTCCCCATGACAGAGAGAATAGACCTCAAATATCATATTTTACGATTAAATCAATATAAATATCGTTTTCGGAGCTGATTGGGATGTTTTGACTTTCCAACATCTTATCAAAATCTTTAATAACTCAACGGTATTTTCAAAATTTACGTGAGGATAATTAAATTAAATTAAATTTGGATTTCTATCTAAGATTATTTGTATAATGTAGATTTAATATTAAATTTTAGATAAATTAAACTAAATTTCGGTTTTAAATTTGTATAATGTAGATTTAATATTAAAAAAAGTAAAATTAAAATTCAGTTATGTGGTAAAACATTTTATAGCATAAATCCCTCGATCGTTATGGTCACCTGAGTTTGGCACACGTGGCAGAATCCCCATGCTGTGTTGGTTTCCTTCTCGGCCAAGCAAACCAACTCGTTCCCATAAAGCGAGTCTGGTGGCAAATAAGCCCAAGGTATACCTGCCATCTCCCGAGCGGCTCGCGCTGCGCTCTCTGCGACAAGCTGCGAAACCCCCCTGCCCCTTTCCCTTCGCCTTCCTGCATCGTTCGGATACGTCCTCGCCGCGATCTCTCCGTCCCCCTCTCCCTTGTTTCTAGGTCTCATCCTCTGCGAAGAGATGCCCCTTGATCGCGCCTTCGGCTCACCCGATAAGCTGGCGCACTTCTCGCTCATCGATTCGTCGCCGATGGAGCCCCGCCTTAACCAGTGGGACTTTGTGATCAAGGTCCGTATGTCTTTTCTTGTCGATCTCTTTTTCGTCTGTGGATTAGGTATGCGGCTCGTCGATTGTAGATGAACTCGATGTGTCCTACTTTGTTCTGCATGATCGGCGATCATCGTTATGGTTTCTTTGCTCAAATTTAGGTTTTTTGCGCTGTTAGATATGTTGTTAAAGGTCGCTTTCTCTCTACCCCTTCCTGTAAAGGTTGTGTCTGGTTGATTGCCGGTGATCCTTATTTTCCCTTTCTGTTCTACTACGTCATCGTCGATCATCGTTAGTATTTTTTGTTTAATTCTGGGATTTTGTGCTGTTTGACTTGTTGTAAAGATCGTGTGGATGCGTAGCTATATTTCTGTAAAGTTTGGTCGGCCCTGTTGCAAGTGTTTTTGATTGAACAATCAACACGAAATTGATAGGTTGATTACACTAGTTGAACATGTTCGGTCACTCCTAGCAGTGTTTCATGCGGTTGGTTGCTTGTTACTTTTATTCTAGGGAATATGCCTTTTCCCGTAGGATGGTAGCGTCTTTTAGTTCTCTAATTCTTTTGGGTGGTACCTTTAGTCCGATGCTGGAAGTGTCAAGTGAGACTGTTTATATGGTTTCTATGTCATCCGACAGGAAGATTAAGAGATGTGGTTCCGTTAAAAACTTTAGATCTTGGATAAATGCGATGGTTTCTTTATTTACTGCAATCGGTTGATTGTTTATGAGTTCTAAATGTTTTCAAGCTGTAGCATTTTCTTCTGCAACCATATGCATGCCAATTATTTCAGGAAGAAGTTTCTTTGGTCCTTGTGTTGCTGGAACTATATCCATGTTAATTACTTAAGGACAAAAGATCTTTGTATCATTTGTCTCCTGAACCATATGCATGTCAGTTTCTTACAGAAAACAAATTATTTCTAGTAAGCTACCTAATTTCGTACACTCAATGTTGTCATGAATCCTTGTCATGTGATCTTAGGGTACCTGAAGTTGATGTTTCCATTGTTAGTAGTTCTTGTGCAACTAGTTTATTTTTCGGTAGTCTTTGAAACTGTTGATTTTTTTCCCCTAATTGTGTCATCTCGGCCATCCTTCTGCTTAAGGGCATGTTTGGTTCTATAGTAGGAGTAATAAGAGTCTCTTTATATCATATATCCATATGGACTGTTTGTATGGTGCCCGAATTATAGTCCATATGAATGGCAAAATTTTGTTCCCTAACAGCAGTTGTCGCCTCTATTTTAAAAGGCCAAGTTCTTATCCATACTGGCCATTCGAAGATGGGATCACTGATCTTCCTTTACTAGTATGCGTCGAACTTCTTATTCAAGCTGGTTTCCTTCATCACTTTGCCAAATCAAGCCAGTTGCTATCCTTCTCCATCGGAAGTTTGTTATGTTCGTCTTGTGGCACAAAAGCACTACCTGATCCTATGTTTTGTTGCACAATCCACTGTTTTCTTAGTGTGATGGTAGATTGTTCAGGACTTAGTTGTCTCTCTTGCTATGCCTTTACAAACTATGCCTAAACCCTGGGAATGAGGTTCATCAATGTGGGGTGTGGTCCGAATTAATGCATACAATATTACCTCTAAGTCCCATAATCACATCTAGATATTTATTGAACATATTTTACTAAAGTCTATCTGAATATTCTTCTGAAATTAAATGCATCCTTTTCCCAATCAAAATAAACCATTTTAGAGCATTTCTTCATTTTTGCTAAATTTTGATGATTGCTTAAAAAATATAAGAAGATTGATTCTTTCAAATTTGAGTGCAAGGTTCAAGTCATGCATCGACCACTGCAAAATTTATCTTTGCAACTTGGATGCCAGCATTCAATTCACATTTTGATCCATGTGAACCTCAGATTGGCATGAGTCACATGCACTCGATCTTTCTTTTCCAGTGTAAAACTAAAGTAGCTCATGGAATATTATGTTATATTATATCTGTGGAATAATGATTCCATCAAGTAGTATTGAGAGTTAGATAAAAGAATGTAAAAGAAATCTGCATATGCAGTCTTTCAGATCAGTAGGCTGAAGATGTAGGCTATTAAGGTTCATCTTGTACAATAAGAGAATGAGCTTTATGCAGAGCTGAGCTAATGATACTAGACTTCTGTCTCTTCAGAATTTTATTTTGGAGGCATGAGGTATTATAAATGTTCTGGAGATATACAGAGTTGAGCTAATGATGCTAGACTTTTGTCTCTGCAGAATTTTATTTTGGAAGCATGTGGTATTATAAATGTTATGGAGAGATCCATATTTCTGCTTGCATATCAAGATCTTTTGTTGATTGAAACAAAGACTATTTTTCGCTGTAGTTTGGTGTTTGTGAATTACGTTGCAGCAAAATAAATTCTTTTCCTCAAATGCTAAGTTCATTTTGTGTGGCATGCAGCTCTCACACTTAAATATTTAGGGTCCTATATTAAATACATGATATAAGTTGGTTCTGAGCATGAATTCAAATGAGGCAAGAATATGATTAGAAGTCACTGGCTGTCCTTTTAGAGGGTAAGCCCTGGTGTCATGGTAAGGTTGCGCATATGCAATCAAGTGACTGGAGTTCCAGTCCAGAAATATTCACTTTGCCTACATGGATATGATTGCATATTTCGACTCTCCTTAAAGGCTTAAACCATGTGTTGGTGCACAAGGCCACCTTTGTATATGGTTCGACGTGTTTTTCCTGGTCAAAAAAGAAATGAGTTCCACCTTCGTTTTTGCTCCTGAGAGACTTGGACTTTTTGAAAATGCTTAATAGTGTATTAGCATGGACATGGTCTTGCGTGACCTTGTCTCAAGCTGAGTTCTGTCAGCTTGTTCTATGGAATAGGAAGCCGGCAAAAAAACAAAAAGGCACTTTAGTTGATCTTCCTTACCATAATGGACTACCTTTGGTCTGTCTCTGTCTGTCTGTTTGTCTGTCTGTCTTATTTTTTTCCCTTTTATTCATTTCAACCGTCTGTACTTTCCAGGTGAAGTATGGTGATATGCTAAAGCGGTTTAATGCCTACGTCCATGGAGAGATGATAGATCACAACATGACTAGACTCCGAAAGAAGATTATTAACCTCTTCAAACTCAGTCCAGAAGCTGATCTTGTTCTTACCTATGTTGATGAAGATGGTGACACTGTAGCACTAGATGATGATGATGAGTTGCGTGATGCTGCTGTTAATCAGCATTTGAATCCTCTGAGAATCAATGTTCAGTTGAAATCTTATGCATCTGGAGGCACTGACCTGAAACAGGAGAACATGAGCCCTGCAAATGCCATGCCACGTCAAGAAGAGGATCAACCATCTGAAATTAGTTCTGTTATTGATGAAGCCTTGAAACATGTTCCTGAACCATTTCGTACTTCACTTTCCAAGATCTCTAATGATTTCCTTTCAAAGGCTTCATCTTCTGCACCAGCAATATCTCAAATTGTGGACCAGTTCTCCAAGTTTGGAATATCAAATGTTAGTCAGCCTGCCAACAGGCCAAATAGTGAGTCAGCAGGAATGCCTAGTCAGACAACAACTCCAACTCAGCCAAAGGATCTTAATATTAGTGGGCCACCAAAGGTTCCATTTACTTCTGCTTCAGTATCAACAAAATCAACTGATCTAGTTTCAGAGCTTTTGCAGAAGGAGCATGAGAGTCTCAATGGGAATCATGTTAACATGGTCAAGACTGATACCTCTGGTGATCTTAATATGAACAGTCCAGATCTTCCAACATTTGAGCTAGCACCAGGATATGCCTTGACTGATGATTTACTAGCAGCCATTTGTGCTAGCAATGAGTTCACTGATCATAACAAAGAAAGTGGTGATGTTGGTGGTAAAGGAAAATCTGTCCTTTATGTGCCACCTGAGATGATTTCAGAACATAATAATGAATCATTTAATCCATCTCATGCTCCAACTAATACATATGGGTTTCCTGGCGTGGTGGCTGGTGACAACAACAAACAACTTCCAACCGATGCAGCCCCTTCAAGAACACCTAATGGTTTTGGTTTTCAGGGAGTCAAACAGCATGCTAAGATATCGTCTCTTGATCTTCCTGATGGTTTTAATTTTCAGGGAGTCAAACAGCATACCAAGATAGCGGCTCTTGATCTTCCTATTCACCCTCTTGGCCATCCTTACGAAAGGGATGATGGGTCTAATAACAACATGTTCTGTACTTTCCACAGGGGAATTATATGTGATGGTTGTGGAATGCATCCAATCATTGGTCCTCGATTTAAATCTAATGTGTAAGGCATTACTTGACTTTCCTTTTTCAATGTTAGTTTTATATAGTTGTTCTAAGTCAGTCTTCTTATACTTTCATGTTTCTTCTTTGGCTTTGCAGGAAAGAAGACTATGATTTATGTGGCATTTGTTTCGCTGAGATGGTTAATAAAGCTGATTATACCAGGATTGACAGGGCACATCATTCATCTCGTAAAGTGTTCAAGTGTTGTTATAATTCAGTATGGCCTAACCTTCTTTCACTTGATTTAATTTCATAATATAGGATGCCCTGACTCCTTCTGCTTTCCTAATTCTAGCATTCTCGACGTCGGCTCCTTTCACCACATTTACATGGTTTTGGTGCGAGACAATCTAGATCAAAATTAGAAAGTCGCTTTATTCAAGATGTGACTGTGTATGATGGAACTGTACTTCCTCCTTCTACTCCGTTTACAAAGATATGGCGAATGCAGAATAATGGTTCGACTCGATGGCCATATGGTACAAGACTTGTTTGGGTTGGTGGTGATAGATTTGCAAACCGGGACTCAGTTTTATTGGAGGTATTCTATAGAATTGTTTATGACCTGTCCTTAGGGAGAGCTGTACTTATCTCATCTTGTTATACCAAAAATGATGTTGCAATCTCATCTTATGCAGATTCCAGCTGATGGATTTCCTGTGAATGAGAAGGTTGATATTGCAGTTGATCTCACCTCACCAGCGATGCCAGGTAGGTACTTTTCATATTGGAGATTGGCATCACCTTCTGGACAGAAGTTTGGGCAACGAGTTTGGGTTCTTATCCAGGTCTGTCATCTGCCCCAAAAATTAATTCGCTGTACCTTTTTTCTTTTGTGTAAGAATCCCTAGTTTTCTCATACAGGTGGATATCTCTCGACCAAGCTCTGCTACTGGTGTTTTCAGTGCTGATTTGAATTTGAATCTGCCACCTGAAAGCACTAGTCGAGATGGGTTTGGAATCATAGATGTCAATGCTGAGCCTTTTGATGATGTTGCTCCTGAACCCATACTCACCAACATTTCAGATGAACTTGTTAGGCCATTCGTCAATGAAGTCCCAACAGAGGGAGTGCATCCTGCCGCCGCTGATGCCATTGCACTGCCCATGCCCATTGTGAATCCTCCCGTGTCGTATCCCATAATTGATTTATCAGTGTCAGAATATGAATCATCTTTTCTTGTGCCACCATCTAAAACAGTTGCCGAGGACAACACTGTCGAGGAGACATTGCTCGATGAGCTGGAAAGCATGGGCTTTAAGCAAATTGACTTAAACAAGGAGATTCTTAGGCTAAACAAGTATGACCTGGAGCAGTCCATCGATGATCTTTGCGGCTATGCTGAATGGGAGCCACTTCTTGAGGAGCTGCAGGACATGGTTGGCTTCTTAACTGTTTAGTACTGCAGAATTACTTTAATTGTCTTGCAATAATACGGTCCAGGATTCACTTGTCATCGTTATGTGGTTGCAGGGTTTCTCCGATAGGGTAATGAACAAAAAGCTGCTGATAAAATATGATGGTAGCATAAAGCGAGTTGTACTGGATCTCATTGCCGGGGAAAAGGCATAGTGGTATTATATCTACACATAAGAGTCTGTAAATAACTATTACGTAGGACTTCGTGATTAACTACATGATGTTGATACTTGTTTCTCCACTGGATACATATGGCCTTCTGCTCTTTAATAGCTGCAACTTATATTTCATCTGCAATAATATATGTGATTGGATCGTTGCATCGGAATATCTCTGTGTTGCATGTATTCCATTTGTCACTCGTTTCAGTGATGAACGTGGCAATGGGATATGTTTGTATTTTAACTGAAGGCTCTCATTTTGTACGAGGGGTAGGGCATATTTGTATTCATTTTTACGTTTGACACAGATCTGGATGACTTGTGATGAACTCTTCATCCTTGATGGAATTGACTCGACCACAAGTTGACTTACCATCATAGCCAAAACAGATTTCTCAAGCCACGTACGTCGAGGACTTCCATTGGTAGCTTTTGCCCAATAAATCCATATTTATAGAAAAGGAAATATATTGCGAGATGACTAATGATTAAATAGACAGTTGACATTATCTACTACGCGTTTCGGTCATCGACTGAATTATTATTATGTATTAATATTGACCATTTTGAGGGTATTTTATTTTCATAAGAAAGTAAAAATGAGATGTTTTCTTTAATCATGTATTTATTACCTCCACTCCTTTCTAAATCACCTTTCCTGTTATTCTCTCTCATTTTAATCATCTCTAGCTTCTTTCATTAACGTCATTTCTTTTTTTTTGTACTCTTTCTTATTTTGTCTCTCTCATCGTTGCTATTTTTCTATTTTAACCACTGTCATTTATTTATATATATTTTTTCATAATGATTAATTTTCTCTCGTCCTATCAAGTGACATATCGATAACTTATTTTTCTATCGTCCGACTCGATGGAGAGATTAGAGTTTCAACTTTCGATCATCAACTGTCTTTAATTCATTATATAATTAAGGGGCATTATAAAACTATTGTTTGGTATAAATTTTATGTTTTCGCTATAAAATATATTAGTATTATTTATTTTACATATAATATAAGTATAATTTATTTATAATATTATATATTGAACTAACAGCCGTTGACTGCCGTACGCGTGTCGTTCGTGGTTCTCTATCAACAGCCGATCAGGGCGGTCCGCAAGAGAGCCCAGACGGTGGCTGGGCCGGCCTCCTCCGCACTGCTTTACGGGGGCAACCTCTCGGACCCGCGCGTCGGCTGACGCGCGTCGAGCGCAGCAGCGGATGGAGGTCACCGGCAGCAGCGGCAGACACCGAGCGGTCGCCGCTGGATCAGGCGGCGGCCGCGGAAAGCGGAGGTCGGTAGACGTCGGCACCGGCGGGTCTATTCGTTCTCTCGGCACCGACCTCCTCTGCATCATCTTTGCGCTTCTCGATCACTTCGATCTCGTCCGATGCTCTGTCGTCTGCAAGTCCTGGTTCGTTTCCCTTTCTTGTTGATTCGATCGTTGACCTTCTCAGGTACTAGGGCTGTTAAGAGAACAGATTCTTAGCTTTGGGTTATTATTTCTAAACCTGATGCCGCATCCTTCTTCATGAGTCTCGTGAAGTTGCTTTATTACGTCCATGATTTTAGTTAATTGGGATAACCGATGATGGAAGCTAAACAATTTCCATTTCTTTTTAATGAACTTTCTGCATGTTTTATACCAAGGAAACCCATTCCCGACCAGAATGCGCAAAACCTGTTCGGAAAAGTCCCTTGGATAAAAAAAAGGAAGAAATGCAAAGCAAAAAATAAAAAAATTAATAAACACATAGTGCTGGCCAAAGCTCCTCCAACTGTAAACACACACACACAAAAAAACACTCTAACATGAGTAGGAGATAATTGTCCATTGAGTGCACCAAGCCGTCCCAACTGTTCACATAGGATAAATATGTTTCAGCAAGTGTGAGGCGTTGTACAATTAGGAAAATCTCTTTTTCTTTTTTTTTTGTGAACTCCGCATCTTCGTTAATCAATGTAAACAAGTTAAGGATAAAATTCTATTGCAATAGGCTCCAAGGGCAAATTTGCAATTCACTTGCATTTTACGGATTGGAAGCACATACAAATCTAAACGGATTTTTTTTCACTTTTTTTAACTAAACAAAGTCATGTGGATTTGAAGGAATATGGATCTAGTTGATTTAGATGAGGAAGAACAGGTGAGGAAGAAGATACGCGGAAGAGAGGAGGAAGAAGAGTAGGGAGATGTGGAGAAACTGTTATTACTTGCTTAATAGTTCCCATTTCTATTGATGAAAAGCAGAGTTCTTTTAATCATTATAATTTCAACTGCTACATTCAATGGTCAAACTGAATAATGATGACTCTTTCAACTAACACATGTTCACCACAAGCTTTGGGATGTAATTACACGGGAAAAGGGGAGAGAATGGTTTTTTATATCACTAAGATATAGGGATATGGAATGAAAAATTTCAACATAAATTTAGAGTCCAAATATGTTTCTAATTTTTTTTTATTTGAAGACCGATAAATGCTCATGACTTATTATGTTACAGGAACAATCTAATCTACACATCCTCATTGATGAGAGATCTATATAACAAAAGAAATCCACATCTTAAATGTGCTTCTATCAAGTCAGATATGCTAGAAACATCAATGAAGATCTATCTGGAAGAGATAGCTATGGAAGAACACAAGTTATCCTTTCTCAGAGGCTCGGTTAAAGTTGATCAATGGAGTGGTCACCATGCAAGGTATTCTCTTTTCTTTTATCCAGTATATATATCATATAAATAGAATTTTTCTATTTGGATTATCAGTTTCCAACCTTATCTCTAACAAATGTAAAATTTCAAGTTTTATTCCTTACATCTAGGGATTTACCGATGTTTATGTTTTTGAAAAGATTATAAATTTGTTGTGGACAATGAGATACAACTTAAAATATTGAATAAATCTTTCCAGCAATGGTAAGACTGAAAAAATCCAACATCCTTAAAAATGTGCCCTTCAACATAATGAATTTGGTTTGGTATGGGATGCTTAACAATGTTGCCTACCATCAACATGGGTTTATTTTCTGATAAAACCAAGGTTTTCAATACTATTGACATGGGGGTTTTAGTTCAATGTTGGCACAGTCCAATCTGGCATAATATAGTCTGCATGCCTCTTGTGCACACAAAGCAGGTTAAGAATTGGAGTCTCCATAGTATTTTACACTAGCATGGCACTGTAAGGGTCGTGCCGATCAAAAATTCAAACCATGATAAAACATATCTGACATTGGTGAAAGTTTTCACTAAACTCAGGCTGTGTCGCCTTTGTGGCAAAATCCTAGTCCATGCATAACTTATGCCTAGTGTCCTGTGCCAACAAGCTTGTATCTTGCTTGTAGGGTGCTAACGAAAGGGCACCATGCTATGTATCGATGAGTGATGTAGAAGGTAGACAATGTCAAGGGCCTATTGTCTTGTAAGTTCTTTAGCATTAAAAATGTTCTGTTTGGCACAATCACTTTGCCATAGTATGTTATATACCTACAAATCATATCTCAATATTGACCTTCTCTTTCTTTGAAAAATAAGAAAAAATAACACGAAGTAACACATTGGACGATGCTTTTTCCTTTTGTTCTGCCATATATGTCGTGTCTGCATTTGGCATTTTACAGATTTGTCTATTCCATGTTTAACACGCATACTAGGATTTATGCTAATTGCTTTTGTTCGGGAGAAAGATTAAAATATTGGTCCATTATCAATACCAATCATCGGTTAAACTGGTATGGTATGCATGATATGATGTCTTGGTATAAACCCATCGGTATTAGTTTCTAGCCTAATAATTTATAGTAAGCCTTGTCTTTTGTTTTTGTTGAGGACGATCAGTATTGATTGCTGGCTAGGTTATTGGAATTGGTATCAGACTGGTATTTATATTCTCAATTGGATCAATTATTAATTTCATATGTGGTCCATGAAATCATTATGGTAGGAAGGCTGTGATCATGAGGAACTCCTATCTCATTTGATCTCAACTAAACTTTCTCTCATCTCCTCGAAGTCGTCAACTTTTTAGACTCGTAAATTTATGGTTGATTTGCATAGATCCAACATGAACTCTTTAATCTAAATAATTTCTTTAGTCAACCAAATAAAAAATAATTTCTTTAATCTAAATCTAAACATGAATTCATGAGTAAAACCATAAGAAAAACACAAGAATAAAGATTCATTTCACGCATTTAAAAGAACACAAAGAAAAAGAAAAGATTAGCTTTAGATTTACCTTCCTTTGGAAAAATGACGTACCAATTTTTGCAATTGAAGCTTGATTTGCTTGAAGTTGAAGTTTAATTTGAGAAAAAAGAGAGTCATAGAAAGATAATGTGGGAAAGGGGACTGATTAAATGTTTAAACAAGTCGGATGGTTCAGTTGGATGCGAGTACCATGCAGTATTTTGTTACCTAGTACACCTAGATGTATCAATCAAAATTGGGTGGTCCACCCTGTATGAACTAGGACCATGCAATTTCTCCCATGTTCCATGTACTGGTTCACTTTTTGACTGGTTTGACCATAATCGTCATCCTTGGTTCTAAATGATTTGTTTACTTCAGTTAAGTGTTACGCACGAAAATGTATACTGGTTTACAATTGAACCAATAAATACTGATCAAGAAGATCCTCATCATTGCTTCCAAGTAATATGATTAATATAGTTAAGATTACTCCAGTATAATGTGAGGTATTTTTGTACCTGGATATGACTGGTTAGATGTCACATTTTTCATTTCGCTTCTAGTTGTCCTTTCTTTTGAAAGTAATTCTACTCACAGGATCAATTAGTTATCATAACTTTTAGACGCATATTCAATCTCTTAGTAAAAGATAAGGTTTTATATCTTAGTCTGTTACCTGTTTTAGTAACTGGTTGGACTGGTATAGTACTGGTATACTCGCCTGTTTCATCTGGTATCACCAAAAAATAGTAAAATAAATATTGACCGATACTGAACTGCATCTGTCTAGTATTTGGAACCTTGGTAAAAGCAATCTGGCAATTTATAGTTATTGTAAGCTAATACTTCTCTGTGTAGTCTTTGCTTTTACAAAATGCAAGTTTTTAGCTATGCAGACTTCCTTTAACATATACAAGTTAAATTGAAGATTATAATGTTACTTCTCATTGCAGTTCTATTCTATCATGTTAAATTGTAATTTAGTATCACGATTTTTTTTTCATTTTTTTTTCTCTTTGCCAGTAGTGTTAGTGGTACTAGGATAACTCTGCTTCTCTATTGTATTGCATTTTTTTCATCCCAGTGATTTAAATATGTCAGGGTGAATGTATGTCGGATGAAAAGAGGCTTAATTCTTACAGGAGTTGGAGATAAGGTATTGCTTTTATCTGAAATTATGATTGTTTACATGATATTATCATATAAATAGTTTCTGTAGATAATCTTTCATTTACATGGATATGATTTTTAAAACTACCAATTCACCAATTTTTATCTATTTGCTTAGTATTTTACTTTATATACCAAATATTATTTAGAATTTTTTCTATTTTAGTTGTTACACAGATTGGGGAATATTATCAAATTAAAAGTCAGTAAATAACTAGGGATAAAAGTCATATGAAATTCTGGGACTACTGAAAGACCTTAAGTGAATTGAGATTTTAAAGTTTAAACTTCTAAATGGGTTGTAGAAGTTTGAGTTTTTAATGCTCTAGATATTCAAATAAGTGGAAAGAATCCTATCAATTTTGTACTGTTCCAAATAGCATGACTTGCTTGTGAGGTGTTAAATTGCAATGAAATGTGAGCCATCTCTGAAGAGGTAAGACTAAATGATTAGAATAAGAAAAAGAACAAGAGAATAAGAAAAACCAAGCCTGCATGTCCAACACATTATGCATGTTGCCCAGTTCATCTCTTTTGTCTTTCTAGGAGTTGCTTATAAGAATTATCTGAAGTTTACAATTTAAGTCAGCATTTGCCATGTTGGCCTTGGCTAATGAACCCATTTGCTCATCAAATCTCCAGCTAAAGGGTAATAGTTCATATGATGAATACATTAATTTCATGTCTGATTTTTGGGATGTAGTGGAGATTTGTACTTGATTTTGTTTCAGTCATGGGTGTATTTGTTTCACATTTCCACATACTCTTAGTGTGCTTCTCTTCTAGCTTTTGTTCTAGTTGCATCAGCATTGTGCTTCTCTGTGCTGTAACATTGATTAACTTGCATCTGTAAGCTGCTTTCTGGTGTAACCCTTAGAACATTCAGGCATTTATCCGGCATCAGGCTCCCTTTTGAAGACTTAATGTGATCTTGGATTAGTATTCAGATAGTCTTTCTAAATCTTTATGGCAATGCCATGAAACTTATAATAGGTACTGCGTCTATGGTCTGCAGAAAGCTGCAACTACTTGGATGAGTATGTCAGTCCGGAAATGAATCAACTAGTTGACTATGACTTTGATGAGAACAAGGTAAACTGGTAAAGTATTGATTTATCTTTTCAATTCCATAGATTTTAATCATATATGTGATTATATACAAGATATGTTTTCCTATATCTTAGCATGCTTTTTTTTATTCTACTAGTCTATGAAGTAATTGTTTATGCTTTAGATCATAGTGTTATGAATCATGAGTCATACTATGAAACCTTGGTAAAGAGTTATCAAAAGTAGGATACGGCTTGAAACAAGTATCTCTAAAAACCAATTTGGTTTTATGCTTTGAAGATCAGCCATAGAAGCTATTTATTTATTAAGACAATGAATGAAAAAGTATAGGGAGAAAAAGAAAGGTTTGTATATGGTTTTTATTGACTTAGATAAAGCCTATGATAAGATACCTAGAGGTTTATTATGGTGGGTTTTAGAAAAGAAAGATATATCCATTAATTATATTGATGTTATTAAAAATATGTATGATATTATAGCTATTAGTGTTAGAACTATAGGAATTGTGTTTAGCGAGTTTTTTATTAGCATAGTATTACATCAAAGATCTGCATAAGTCTCTACCTTTTCATATTGATACTGAATAAACTTATTAGTCACTTACATGATAGATCTTCCTAGTGTATGTTATTTGTTGATGATATTATCTAAGTTAATGAGAGAAAATCGTATGAGCATGTGTCCAGGAGACCTCCGAATGCGAGTCAGAAGAGTGAAATAATTAATATTAGTTGTACGAGGAGAGATAGAGGAAGACCTAAAATTTTTTTAATAAAAATTATAAATAAAGATTTAATTACTTTGAGCTTAATTAAACATATGACTTTTTATATAGTACTCTTAGTGATAGTAAAAAATTCATGTAGCCGATCTCAAATAATTAGAACTTATATATATGCAGTACAAGTATAGTTCAAGGTATCATTTGATTCCCATGTGATAAGATCAGTCTATATCAATATGTGATAGCATATGGGGGAGGAGCTGAATAAGGGGAGAGGGAGGACAAAAAAGAAACATGTGATAATTATATAAGTTTAGTGCAAGAACATAGGGAGACAAAAGGAGTAGCCTGAAACCTCTTAAGGATAAACAGGATGCTGACATAAAAAAGGGATCTGCCATGAGATTTGAAATAAATCACAAAATTCTGTGAATCCACTCTACGAATAATGTTTTGTCTTTTCTTTTCCTTGAATAAATTTGAATCCAATAAAATTGGGCAAGTTTTACCTAATGGTCCAGGGTTCAAAATCAGTGAAAAACCTGGTTCTCTAGTAGTATTGTTGTAAAGTAGTAGGGTTCTAGTTGGGGTCCATAATCATGTGTTCGTCACATGTTAATGCTTCTGAAAGGAAAATATATGATTCATGACCTTAATAAGATGAAACTGGTTTATTGTTCTTGCTAAGGTGTTGATTTGAATATGTGATTCAATCAAATCATTTTCTCTACATACAATCATGTCTTCTCTCTTGTGTCCTTATTATGACTAGGAAATAAATTTTAATGCACTTTTGATAAGGAGATCATGACAATGATTAATAAAGTTTTTTAATGGTTTCAAATTTCTATACTTTCAGATTGTAGGTTTAACTAGTGATCGAATATGCATATGGAGGCGCCATGGTCAAAGAGGTATCTTCCAATCATGCAAAGGTATCTTCACACGTGGACTATGTATGCGGTGAGCAGAAAAAAGGGTTTTCTTTTCATCATTATTATTTAAATAAATTGATTACTAAATTCACCTCAGATGGAAGCATATGCAGTAAAATTCATTTTCATAGGTTTTTGTTGGAATGTAAAATAGGTAAGTTTCAGTTGATACTTAACAGATTTGTGCTGTTGAATATGGTGCACTAAGGTCTGCTAGAAACAAAATCAAAGTTGTAATTTTGATATATTCTCTATACTGGCCTCATGAAATGGTATATTGTAGACCTTGTCCTGTTGAATAAGCCGAGCACATTAGATCATGTGAATTAGTGGTGACTGAATGATGTATGTCGATGAAGGCAAAAGTCAAACTGGAGTAATTAGTCTCTGTTATTTGTTAGCCTAAGCAGTATGGACTGTACTGGACCTGTATTAACTTGTATCAGATCCATTCTGACCTACACTATATTGGTATAGGTCTGTAGTAAACTGGTACTAATAGATATGCTCTGGTTCACTTTGGCTCAGGCGTACCTCCAGTATCAGATCTGCCAAGTGAAAGAGTTTATTAAGTTCATGTTTTGAGATTGTATATAGCAGCAGAAAGAACATTTTCATCTTGTATTAAGTTCTTCAGATCCAGCACCTTATCTTGTTAATGTTTGGTATTCAGTTATTATTTGTTGTCGGAGTCATGATGATGACACCTTTGCACTGGTTTTTTTATCAACTAGGATTGTCAATTCCATGAAGCATAATGTAGCACGTGTAGCATAACTATAAAATGCCTCACACAATGAATGTGGGAGCATGTGCTTGAACTTCCAGCAAAATTACCGTTTTCATTTGATTAATGTTTGATAAATTTATAGTAAAGCAAAAGTGTCTTCAGACGTCATATTAGCAATTATATATTGGTGCTTTGGTAGCACTAGATTTTATCCCAATCACCTTGATTTTTGGCATGTCTTATTGTCTTTGGTTATTATCATTTTTCTGAGCCATGTGAATTAATATTCTACTGATTTCTTCATATGTTTACTTGTTTTAATATTTTTGTCCATTGTTTTGGCAGTTATATCGATCCAGAGGCTGTGATTGGTTGTGAAGATGGTAGAGTTCGTGTATTTGATATGTATAGTGGAAGATGCTCTCGAATAATTAGGTACAAATGTGACCAAGCAATTTCCATGCATAGCATTATGTAATTACTAAAGAAGAATAGCAAAAGTAGGATTTTGTTAACATCAATCTATATTTTGTATTCTGCATTTAGGTAAGCATGTTTCCTTTTTGAGGACTCATGTTCTAAACTTGGGGCAACTTCTATCTGTTGCTTATATCTGCATGCCTGTTCATTTTTATTATTTATAAACATATGAGAAGATGCCACATGAATGTACTCTGGGTCCAACATTTTGCAGGATGCATTCTGGACCAGTCACATGCTTGACTTTGACTGATGATCAATTAGTTATTGGTGGTTCTACATTTGGAAACATAGCTATTGCAGATTTGTCATCTGGTAAAAGGATGGGTTCTGTGAAGTCTTGTTTTTCTCCTACAGGTGATTTTCCTAAACCGTGGCACTGTCATATAACAAAACTAAATAACTAGGTTGATCAAAATTGTACAATCTTTCATCTGGCCTGATGAAACAAAAAATGTGGATTTAGATCATGTATCATATATCATCTTTCTCTTATTTGCTTTATTGTCATTTGATCTAAACCACTAAATGGGCAAATTAATGAAAAATCTTGTCCATTGATGATGAGTTGTGCAGTCTTGTTTCATTTGATCGATTTCAAGTGGTTGAAGTTTATTGTTTGTGGAACTATTGGAGGTATTTCTACTGTAAGGGTGTTTCTTTTCCCTTCTGCTGTTCGTGAATGAACCAGTAACTCTTTGTATTGCATTGATTTTCTCTTTTCATATGTGTGAGGTGTTAGAATGGTCAAAAGCCATGAGATATGATATCTTAGGTTCTATATCATCGCTGTTATTATTTCTGTTCTACTTTTTTTTTCGTTCTTTCTTTTGTTTTTCTTAAAAACATGAAGTTGAATATTTACTACAATATTGGCAGTATCACTACAGTACCCATACGGTAATGTAGTACTATGATATAATGTACAGAACCATAGTGCCATGTGTTAATATATTTTGGTAGCTGTGTGGAATATCCAACAGGCTTTGAGGCCCTTGTTCATACTGTTTTTAGCCCTCAAATTCATTACAGAGCTTTATTTAAAATAATATTTCATTTTCTGAATATTATGGGTGTAAATTTATAGTGATATTTTCTGATTGAAAGCATACGTTATCCTGAAAATGGCAAATAATCAGGCACACAGTTCCCATCTTGATCCCTTCAGATTCCATGTGAGGCTCTTTGTTGTTTCCATCAGATCTTTGTCTAACAATATCATTCCTTAGAGCAGGCCTGAAATGCTTCTCTTTTAACATGCATTCATACTCGGTGTTTGCTGGATCAACTTCAGGCTATGCTCATTGTTGGGACCTCAGGTTAGTAATGCAAATACTTAGCTCCATTATGTGATTTGCATAGGAGTCCCTCTTCTAATCTTTTAAATCTTATTTATGTTCCATGACTGTGAATCATGTGGCTAGTCCATTTGAAGCAAAGGCTTAAAACTCATTATCCTAAAAGAAAGTCACTATCAGTTGATCTTGGACTTTTTTCTATACTTCAAACTTGGATCAGTGCAAGTTTGTAACTTGGTTTATGTATATGCATCCGAGTGACTATATTTAAGAAGCTTATTTGGAGGAACCCTGAACTTTTTTGCTTCTTTCAGGACTCTGAGACCAGTCTGGGAAACACGGGTTAGTCCCAACGTCATCTACACTGTCCACCATCTATCAAATGATACATCTATGTTAGCCGTCGGTGGAATAGATGGTGTACTCCGCATTCTGAACCAGAGCACCGGTGAAATTCTTTCAAGTTTGGTGATAGATGCTGCCAATGGGGTGCCACTTTCTTCTAAGAACAGTCATGAAGTGGTTCAAAAGAAGGTGAGGAGGCTTCAGGATACCACCTGCTTGGATATCATTCCCAGATACTTGCGGCCTCCCATAACATGTCTGGCTGTGGGAATGAATAAGATTGTCACCACTCACAATGAGAAGTTCATCAGGGCGTGGAGATTTCACATGAACAATTAGCTGGCTGATTTAGATGCAGAAAGTCTTGTTCCTCTTATTTTAAGTCAGTTACATGAATTAGCCCGTGAACAGATTTATGATATTTCATTGAAGCCTCTGGGTGAAGTGTTTCATCAGATGATTCACTGTCTTATGCTGTTGTTTCAATTGGTGGTATGTACAGTTGAACGGCAGTGTGAACATTGCTCTATCTTTGATGCTGAACGCCCTCAGGAGGTACATGTCGTTGAGGGTTAATTGTAGATTACCTCTTGTACTTAAATCCTATTAGCATTGTGGTCGTTATATTTAAAAATTTATATTGAGATTTTTATAGTTTTAAAAATAAAATAAATAATCTTATTTGTCCTAACATCATCAATTGTATTAATGAAAAATATAACATGTGATATAATGTGTTGGATTGACGTGAAAGTGATGGACAAAAAGATTATTTGTTTTATTTTTAGAATTATAAGGATTTTAATGTAAAATTTTCAAGTACAAGAACCTCAATTTTAATAGGATCCAAATCTAAGGGGTAATGTTTAATTTCACTTGCTTGTGGATTGACTCATTGGGCCACACCTAGTTGAGGTATTTTATCTTTTTTATTTTTATCAAAATACTTCTTCAATTAGTTGTGTATTACATTGTTAGAAGGGATGTATTCATCATTTGTAGGTAGGGGTATTTAGTGTTTTCTATTTTTTTCGTCAGTTCAAAACTGAAATGAAATCGTCTGTTTCGGTAATCACAGTCGAATTGTTGAAACTCAATTCAGTTCGGAATCGTCGAATCGAATCATGGCCGGAACTGTCGGTGAAGAAATGCCTCGAGATAACAGTGAGGACGAGGCGATCAAGCAGAACATCTTCATTGCATCTCGTTTGTCGATACCAAAAAAAAAAAATCGAATTTGAGGTGCAAACTCAACGAATCTCGATGAAAAAAAATGGTACAACCCAACCGTGGTTGTCTCATGGTCGAGGGAGAGCATTTCTGCACGAATATAACTAAAAATAAAATCTACAGAGAATACAACTAAAAAAAATCTACACCTGCCCTGCAGTGTCAATCTATGTAGATCTATCGGAGGATATGTAAAAGGTGGCATCACGAGCCCCAATCTACTTCTAATATGGTCTTATTACTCCACATTTTAGTTGTCCGACATATTAGTATTTACATCCAATCTGCATCTAACATTCGTCCTTGCCACAAGTACAATGCTAAGAAATTCGACTAGTGTTTCTACAAAATCTAAATCCGGATATACCTGATAAAGTAAAGCCAGAGAATTCAGGAAAGAAAAATAAGCTACTATTATAAATAATCTACTACTCTCAAATAGGTTAAGACAGCCTTTGTAATGGTGTGTTAAGATAACTTCCGAGATAATTATGCAAAATTATCGACATTATGAATCTGTAAAGATATAGCCGTCGAACATTTCTGTTGAACACAACCGTTGGGATAAATGAGCATATTCGCTCGGGCTGAGTAGACATCTGATCCATAGGATGATATGTCATAAGACTGCCATGTCTCACTTCCCCTTATCAGGTCTGAATGTTACAAAACATTAGTACAAATGTAGTACAAAATTTTGTAATCCTAGTTGGCATACCAGAAGTCAAAATTTCTGATTCTTCAGGAGATTCAAATATTGCTAAAAGACAAAAAAAAAAAAGGTGAATTATGTCATATGATGGGAATTCTCAACTCTCCCTCTTTTCTCATATTGCTTTTCTGGTTAACTGCCACTTCATTTTAGGGGTTTCCTGTTTCCTTCCTAACAGTAGGAATGTGATGGCTCACATCAAATAACATGTTATATACAGCGCATAAACTTCAATTCTGTTGTTTGCAAGGGAAGGATTATGAAGAATTTGGAAGGTTGTCGAGTATGAATGGGCCCAGTTTTCCTGTCCTAAATAAGGTTAGTAACTTCTTTGAGACCATCGTCCGAGCTTCATCACATGCTCTATGAGATGGTATCCTAAATGATTTCCGGAGTGCCGTAAGTTGAGCGTCAATCAGACTTTCTAGTTCACCCTCTTCCTCCAAATTGCCCTCGAAATCTTTGAATGTGAGATACAATGTTCGTTGGACCTCTCTCACAAGATCCTGCATCAAACCAAAGGAATTAGATCATCTCCATCAATATAAAAGACATTTCTGTATGGAATCTGGACTTTGAACACAACCATGGTAATAAATCTTGGTTCACAACTCATACCAGTCCTCAGTTGGATTAGCACGAATGTATCGAACAGTATACCAACATATACTGTCCATCATCACTGAAAAAACTAATAAAAAAACAAATACCTAGTTATAACTTAGTGTATTGTTGCCGATTATAGACAAGCAGTACATATCAGTCCAGCCAGGACTTAAAAGTTAAAACCATGACCATGAATGACACTGAAGCATCACAAAGTCTTCATAACTGATTGCAAAAGATGAACATGAGATAATGATAAAAATATGGTCAAGGAACAAGGTGACTTGACAAACTAATGTGCTAAATAACATACTAATGTAAATCAAATGAACTCAGAATTTGAATTCAAATTAATTAATACCCATTTCTGCAGAAATTGATGTGAGGTCAAAATTCCATTCTAAAACTCATCCGACACTTCGTCAGACATAGAAATCATATGCATGCAGTACTGTAGTTTTAGAGACCTACTGACATGACACACTGTATATCATATCGGCTTTTCCTTTTTCAGCATCCTATTTTGCTCGGACTGGTATGAGATGGGCGATACATACCGGTCTGGGCATGTACCGGTATGTGGACCACCCATATGTCGAGAGGTCCGGTCCAACCAATTAAAAGAGTAAAGAAACTTGACGTTTTCCTTCAATTAGGGCTCGTGATCCATGACAACCACAGTTTCGTGAGATTGGAATCATCGCTGCTGTCTGATGCTGCATACATCCCTCCACCATTCGTTGTCGCCGCCTACCAAGCTACCGCCCATTGCGTGCTGCCGACCACAACTATGCTTCCTCCTTTTCATCCATTGCTTCCTCTTCTTTCTTCTTCTTCTTCCTTCCCTTTCCTCCACCGCCTCCTGTTCTTCCTCTATTCTCTTTCCTCCTTCCTCCTCTTCCTCCACTGTCATCCTCTTCTCCTTCATCTTCAAATCACCGATATATACCAGTGTATCACGTGTTGGTATACTGATACCAACTGGTATATACTGGTCTGACGAGCAATATACCCAGCGGCCAGCACGACATTTTTTCTTCTCCCTATAATCTTACTATTAAGTCAGGAAAAAGAAGTTTAATCCCAAGAGTCCAAGGAGAATTTGAAACTAAGCATCAAATTTTCCATACCAAAACACTGACAATATGAAAACAATCTTATCAACCCAACTCTTAGAATTCGAGCAATAATGTTGAAAATGAAAATGAATTTTTTGAACCTTACTTGCTATAGTTCCTGTACCAGATAACCTAATACACCAAGACTCAGCTGTCATGTCATAGGCATGGGGACAAGCTAGGAGACTGAAAACCTTGTGCACAATCATGTCTGTTTTGTCATTTTTTTGTGCTAAATATAAACTAATTAGATTGAGGATATATACATGTGTATGTTAATACATGTTTGTGTAAAGAATATCCACAAAATATGCAAAATGATAAAACTAGAATGTCTAGAACAAAAAGGTAGATGTAACTAGGAACTATTACTTGGTAATCCTAGTTTATTATATGGAAGAAAGAAAATCCCTATTAGTAAGAAGTCAATATGATGCAATTCTAAAGTAGCATGGAATTAGTAAAAATTAATACCTCAATGTACAAAGCATCAGAATCAGACACATTCAATTGCCTCCTCCTCTTTGGAATTGAGTCAGCAAAAATATTCTTGTTTCTTCCATCAAACTCAGGTGCTGTCCGCATTCGTTCATTACCTAAGCGATCCCAATGTAGAGGTGTTCTCCTACTATTCAAAATTGCCAATAAATATTGAGCAATGCGTTCTTCACCAACCACTGAGTCTTTGACAGCCCCTGCACACAAAATAGATAAGCGAGACAACAGAACGACAAGAATATACAATGTAACTGTCAGATATTTGCAAGTATTATAGCAGAGTGCTCGAGCCAATAGTTACTTAATGTATTTGTCAGTGAAAAATGATCTCAAATTATAAAAGTAGTCTGCCCCAAAGTCATGGTTTTATATCATTTAGCTGTAAGCAGATCTAGTGAAAAAAGCTAGCACTTCAGAATTTTCACTGGACTTTCACCCCTATTATTGATAAAATGATAATTTTTTAAGATAATTATCTCAAAGTATTTTGAGCAAGATTAATGTTGATAAATTCTGTTTTAGGTATATATATTACAATTTACATTGCCCAAAAAATTACAATTCAGTAGGGTCTAAAATTGGAAAATCTCAAGGTCATTTAATACATAAGATTATGAGGTACTTTTTTGTCTGAAAGAGTCTTGATTGGTAATATTATCTACTTTGTCCCATTATTTCTAAGTCCTATTTGCAGCGGAAGCCTGTCTAATTCAGGTCATCTAAACATAGGGTGACTCCTGACTACTACAAGAAATCATTTGAAGCTTACAGCCCATGTACTTCTCTCCCACCTATTCCTCATAAACTGTTCACTACAATTATTCCATTTTTATTTATCATAAGAAAATAAGCCACAATAATACTTACTCAAATCAGCCAAAAGATTTACTGGTTAATTATCTGCTGATATAAGTTTTAAAATTGGAACTAACACAATTTGGATTTTGAACCAACTGAATAACATTCACTATTTTGGTTAACTCGGAGAGTCCAATCAAGCATAATAATGAAAGGATGTTCACGCCAAACATAGATGAGACCAAGGAATGCTATCCTGTCTTGGACCCAAGCCAGACCTGTAGGTACAGCCAAAACTGGTGTACCAAGGGCTGGTATGCCAGTGCGTACCAACACTCTGTTGGGAAAGGGAGAGGAGGGGAGGAAGAAGGAAGAGGAAGAGAAAGAGGAAGAGGAAGGAAGAAGAGGAGGAAGAGAAGAGGAGGATGGCTGGCAGCTGATGGCAGCAGCGATCGGGCAAGAATTCTGTGGCGAGAAGATGGTGGTTGAGATCAAGCAAGACCTAGTGATTGGGATTTATAACATATAATATAATTTTTTAAATGGACAGAACTGGATTGCCCAACATTTTGTTTCTGGGTAATGAGCTTAATGTCCTTTAATTTATCCATATTAGTAGGAACTTTAGTGCTGAAGCTCACAAATTAGCTAATATGGGTTGTATACGTGACAAAGCAGTTGTCTAGGGGGCTGATTCCGGAACCCATTTTTTTGTTAATGTTCCCAACTTTTGAAGTTAATAGATGAGCTAGTTTCTTGCCAAAAAAAAACAATGAGTCTTGTTTGCAATAATTAATTGATAAGTATATTTGCATCATGGGTCTGCTCCATTTAGAATTGAGCAACATAATTTTCTTTGGTTCTAGCTGATGGAAAAGACAATTATTAGTTTATGTTTTCTTAGTTATAATTGAATTTGTGACTTCTAACCTTCCTAACTTATCACCCTTTTTGATTCACATAAAATAGAGATTATTATGTAAGATATTGTTCAGATATATGAAACACAATTCCAGAAAATCTTCATTTTAGGTCAATTCTCGACTTTCTTATTCGTCTGTGCTACAAGGTTTTACTATGTGCAACAGATTGAATAAAGGGTATAACGACCTTTGACTTGTAACTTATTTATTAGGTGGCTCATTTTCCTCTTTCTAAATCTTTTTGTTTACTATGTAAAATCTATTACTCCATTTTTTTTCTGCCACTCAAGAATAAACAGAATAGGATGTCATTCTAAAGCACATTACTAGCCAAACATTGTTATCCTCTATCATGGTGTGAAGACTATGTTACAAATAGTAGCAAATTGAGGGTGAAGAATTACAACCATAAAAAAAAGGGTACCTGTTAAAGCAAGCTTTAGGCCCGTCTCTATATCTGGTATGCTAGGCACAAGGACACCTGGTGTATCCAGTACATATATGCTAGGCCGATTTGCAATCTGTCCACCATTATATCAAGTTCAATTACAAGCTGTTGGAAACATAATCATATAGATTCCCAATTACCAATACAGAGTTTATCAGCAAAAGAACTTGCTATGCACTGATGAAACATTTCAACCAAACATCAGAAGTTGACTGTTACAACTTCCATATGTTTATTTCTATTATAAATTAGAACTGTGCATCCAGAAAATCCAAAACAGTAAAGCAAGATTACAATATTAAAAAGAGAATGGTGCATAAATCAAATCACAAAAGGACAATTTGGGAAATATGAAATAGATTTTGCTTACTTAGCAGATACACATTAATCTGATAATAAAGTGCTAATATAAGAAATACATGGCAGTAATTTCCCAAATCACGTATGACCACATAAGTTTATAAACAAAATCTGCAACATTGTGAATGGCAAAGCAGGAGAGCAGCATAAATAATTAAAAACTGTAATACTTGGAAACCATGCTGTGGTCCTGACATGAAGTGCCTAATGCATATAACTCAAGTCATGCTAGCAACTTTAGAAATAAAGTTTGTCAAGGTACAAAGAAATTATGTTATACAAGAACACCAGTCCAGAAAATTTATCCTCTAGACTGCACCAACATGCATATGCAGACAATACGTTGCGCCATTATGCAGCCACACTCTGCTCATATGTATTGCCTTCATGTGAGGGCCCAGTGCCACTTATGTGGTTTAAAAAAAATACATGGTAAGTGCAAGTGCAACATATTCCATTAGAAGGCAGAATATAGATAAAGTGGTTGTATTAGAATCTTATCTTGTAGCAGTTCTTACTTGTTGGATAATACTTAAATTGGTTCACTATTATATAAAAGTTTACTGGTAATATTTTGCTTATTTTAACGGCACCAATAACCCTGAAACAAATGGTCACTAACTGCTTCATGATTCAATTGGTCTACATGGTAAGGAACATCTACCAAGACCCTTAACTAGTCAAGGTCACCAACCCTAGTGAACGAATCTTACAACTTGAGATTAGGTTATTTCATTTCACTTCTATTTTCATGCACACTGGAGGTCATATGGAGGTGTCCTAGGTCATCAACACTTCTAACAGCATCATGTTCAACCATATTGTGGTAGATGGGAAAAATAAAAAAACTATTGCTCCTTTCCAAGGAACTGTTCATATCAAGTGCTTTTGTGTACCAGTCTGTCAAGTAGGAAGGGTAGAAAGTCAAGACTAATCACCTTCACATTTTTACAGCGTCATCATATGATCAAAATCATGCCCTTAAAACATGCCCATAACCATACCTTAGCATGATGAATAACAAAAATTGAAACAATATGTACAAAAGAAAGTTGAGGAGACAGCATGTACTAATATTAAACATGTTAGGATAAAACTGAAAATATCAAGACCTTGTATCCTGCAATGTCCTGTGTCACACCTGGCAATGGTCCCACCGTAGCACACTTGATCTTCTCCTGCACTACAAAGAGTGCCAATAGAAACCTAAGTACCTCATTGGAAGAAAAAAGAATAATATTATTAAAGGAAACTGCATATCTCACCTGGAAAACGAGAATTTGCAATCTGATGGATAGAATTGATAAGAGATGATTTGCCAACATTTGGGACACCAACAACCATAACAAGAAGTGTAGGTTCTCTAGAAATGACTTCCTTCAATTTCAACTCCACAAGTGCTAGAAGCTTTTAATCATAGAAAATTTAATTCAGCTTAAAAAGCCAATAATCATATTGAAACAATTAAGAAAGTCTTATGGAAATAATAAAACTTGGAATGAAAAGAACATTTTAATTTAGCTTATAGACATGTTGAAGATACAAAGATTCAAGCAATTAAAATATACAACAATTCTATCACCAGTTAGCTAAAGATTTTGTGGCAACACCAGTAATAAGCTCAAGTTAAAAGTTTGAAGTTGTATACCTATTACACAGCAGCCGATGCACTGGGGGCCAGTGAGCTTAGTTACTTAAAATGAAACAATAACTAGAAAAAAAAAAAAAGTACAGTCACAATTGTTAGAACATGTCCATTCATCTCCAACGAGTATTGGAATTATCTTGAGTGGCTTCCACACAAGTATTATCATGTTTGACAGAAATAAAGAAATGCAATGAATAACAATTCCCAGGTCTGATGGAGTAAAACATCAAATTCATTCACCAACTTTATATATTCATGAGTTACAAAGTGTTTTAAACCAAATAAGCCATCTTGTTCATGTTTTAAACCAAATTGTTTTAAACATTGCATCAGTCTTGTTCATGTCTCTGATTCAGCAGCATTACCATTTACAAGCATTCTTGAATATTTAAAGAGGATAGAAGGACAAGGTTATGATGGAGCAAGTAACACACAAAGTAAATTTAATGGTCTCAATATGAAGTAACACAATTCTGCTATCTGTGTTCATTGTTTTGCACATCAACTTCAACTAGTGCTCAAGACAAAAGCAAAAATAAAAGGTCCAAAATGATAGAATGGCGCGAGCATGAAGGCTTGCGAGGAATTGTCTGCTTTGGATGAGCTCGTACGGTTTTGCCCTTTCGGGGTGAGCCCCAAAAAGCGTCTCTGAGGGTAAGGGTGATGTTAGAGGCATATAAGTTTTTGGTTCCCCTACTTCTCAACCGATATGGCCCACCCCCCGCCCCCGTAGGGGAGCCGAGAGCTCATCACCCTTCTTCTAGCACCATTCTGATAAATCAACATCTTGTCATCATTCGTGCGAGTACGAAGGCTCACGAGGAATTATCCGTTTTGGGTGAGCAAAAAGGGCAAAACTGTGTGAGCTCACCCAAAACGAACAATTTCTCGCAAGCCTTCGTGCTCGCACCAATGACGACAAAATATTGACTTATCAAATGGTATTTAGTCTTAAGATTAGGGATGATAGAATCAAGGTCAACAAGTCCATGACTAATGAATAAAACAACTTATGATTCTTAATAATAAGTGAAAATGAATGTATTCAATTACCTTTATAGAAAAATAAAGAACTCTCAACATTAAAAAGGAATTACATAGTTCCAATTTGTTAAACAATATTTGCAATTATACATGCATATGCACATCATTTGAAGTAGTATGGAAAAAAGTCAACTTGGCTTCCGTTAACCCCTTAAAGCATCAATTATATCCAGTTGTAACGTCACTGTTTAACTTATAGCAGGAATGGAGTGCATGCAGCTGTGCAGGAATCCAGATTTTCCTTCACCAAAATCCCAAAGTATTAAGTCAACTAGATGGGGGCACAAGACTGAGATTTGGACACTTTTCAAAGAGGACACAGTATAGAGTTGACATTATATTTAACTGCTTTTAGTAGGTTCCAGCAAATAGTTGGCACTATAATTAAATGTTTTTCATCTTCAACATCATCTAAAATGTCACATGGTACTTTAGGGAAAAAAAGACAATGGAAATAATGAACATAAAAATCAGAAAAAGTCGAACCATTTAAATAAAAATATTCCCCAACTTATTTGAATAATTTGTACAATGTCAATTGAGAATTATAGTTGGAGGAACCAAATAGTATGTTTAACATATTTGATGGAGCAGACAAACCTGGCTTACAGAACTTTTGAGGTGAGCATTCATTGACAGACAGTCTTGCTTGCATGACTCAAAATGCTGTACCCATCGCTGTAAACCAGAAGAAAAGTTTATTTTACTGAACAGTACAAGATAAAAGGAAATACAACATATGAATTCAAAAGGTAATGGATTTCAAGAGAACATATAGATGGGCATTCATACTAGGAGACCTTTCTATGATGTTGTCATACAAGTGAAGATGATAAATACTTTAGAAACCACTTACATGCATTATGTTCGGATTTGCCATATCTTTCTTATTTAGGGCAATTATACGCCTCTTACAGGAAAGCAGACTCTGGAGATCCTCATTAGCGGATGATAATGGAATCTGCAGATAGGAATAGAATATGGGCTTCAGTTGACTGCTTATAATTAATTGCATATAAGAGATTATAACTATCAGAAATTAATATATGAGCCCAAGTAATAATGTGAAATGGTCAAATTTTGAATAATTTTTTAGGCAACTATAATTTAACATGATTCTCAAAAAGAAAAGCATAATTTTACATAACTGAGAAAAACAAATCAAAGTAAAATAAATTTTGTCAAACGCTACCTAAATCTTTTGTCTCAAAGCAGCACACTGATGTCAAATGAGGCAGAACTAGAAGTAAATTTAAAATGCCAAAGGAAAAAAGAAGAGAAGAATGTCATGATTTTTGTGAAGACAAGAAGAAGAAGAAGCACAGCTGGAGTTGAGCATCAAAAATTAACAAGCTGACATGGTCATTAATATCTGAAATAAGATGTACGATTATAGATGATGGAAACCAAACATTAAACTACATTAGGTACACCTCATACTACAAGAATTAGCTTGCCATGCTCCTCTTACAGCCTAAAATTAAGCTCCAACGACCAAACAGAAAACAGCATGTACTGAGACGTCAACAATTTTTATTACTTTGGCGGCTAGAATCAGTTAAAGCAGTTGCTGAAAAGAAAAGAAGCATAACAAAACTGAGTCATATGATTATGCAGATAGAGTTTAACCAATAAAGAGTGTCAATGTAAAAATTGTCATCACCGAAAGAAGAGTGTGACCTATAGTGTGCTTGCTCAAGTGAAGGCAGCAACTGGATCAACTCACAAAAGAGCACTTGTCTGTCATTTCATTTACAAGTAGATAGCCATTTAGAAGTATCAGGTTTTCTATGATGCTTAAGAAAGAGGTGTTTAGGTTGCGACTTCAGTGCCCCTCAAAGTCTTTTCATCGAACAAATGGTAGACAACTTACCACTTGTGTTTTCATTCCCAGTACGTCCCCATTAACAAACTAAAAGACTATACAAGTTCAGGAGAACGATGGTCGAAGCAAGGAGGCGTCGCTTAGGATTGTTAGGGCAGCAAGAGGTACTAAAGTTGTTTGGGTGGCGGGGAAGGAGAGAAAAGTGGTGCAAGAGAGTGGAGTCTCACGCGGGCGTCGCGCACTTCGATGACGAGGTCGGCGAGCTTGAGACGATCACGGATAGCCCGAGTGGCGGCAGCCATGTGCCCGGGGAACCAGTTGATGGCGCCACCACCGGGGTTGAACCCCATCTCCGCGATGCGTTTGCCCATCTGCGCCCGCCCACCCATCTTCGCCGGTACACCCCTCCTCCCCTCCCCCGCCTACACCGCCGGAGCGTGCTCGGACGGCGCCTCCTTTGTGTTCGGTCGTGTGGCTACTTGGACCGAACGCGCTACACCGCGGGACTGCCGCTGAGGAAGGGCAGCCTGGGAAGAGCTCGGGCTCAGAGGAACTGGGCCATGGTCGATAGCCCATCGTCTTAAAGACGATGAAAATTGAGGGGCGATTTCCTGAAAAATACTCCTTTTTTTTTTAGGCCTTTTTTTTTTCAAAGATGCCTCAATTTTCAGTTTTCTTATTTATAATATGATTTTTTTTTCTCTAATACATTTGAGATGTTCTTTTGTTATTATTCGAAGTTTGTTGTCTCCGCCCTATGAGATCTCCCCATATTAGTGAGGTTTGGGATGAGAAAAATAAGCATAAAAATAGGAGAAAATACAAAGGAGAGAGAGATGGGATGACGATTAACAATGGGAGAAACGACAAAATGGATGCGAGGAGGGTAGAAGTAAGGATAAGGTTTTTGATATTATGAACATTTATAAAGAGATGAGAGTCATGACTAAAGAAGGGATGATGAGTAATTGATGCTAAGAATCTATGATATAGGATGAGTGACGATGAATTTACTTATTTTTGATGACAGAGAGGTAGAGAGTAAAAAAAAGATAATAACAAAAAAGATAATAAAAAAAATAACTCAGACCTTTTGCATATGTCGCATGTGGATAATAAAATTATTCCATCAGAATAAATATAATCTCACACCACTCAACATTAATTCATCTCTCATTGATCCATTATCCACATGGATCAATGAAATATATAGAAATAAAAATACAATCACATCAAATAAATATAGGATTTTTTTTTCTTCGAATAAGATAATTTTCTTGATTTGATTTAAGGAATAACCTTCTTTTCCTCATGATATTATTCTTTCTAAAGATGAATACTTAAGATATCTAATCAAGATTTATAATATTTTAATCAATAATTTGATTTCTTCCACTTTTTCTAAATTTGTTTCTTTTTTCTTAGTGTTGAGTAAATGTTGTCACATGAGAACTTATTCAATATACCTATAAATTAATAAAATTTATTTAAATAACACATACACTAAATTACTCTTGGAAAACAATTGTGACGACGAGGGATATTTAAGATATTATAGAAAAAAGAGATACCATATAAGGAAAATTAAAAACTAGAGGCATATTTAAAAAAAAATCCAAAAACAAAAGCTTTTTATGCAAATGGTAAAAATTTTAATTGGTATTAATAAATTTTAAAATTTTATATCCATTCCTCTGAGCTTGAATTCAAAAATTAAGGAGCCAAATAATAGTTGATAATGAATCAGGAGTTTATTGGATGTGACAAAAAGATAATTAAGTATATGCCTTTTGTAGATTGATGATAAATGATCTGCAATAATCCTTCAATCTATATTATTGCAGTTTTTCATGCATTATTGAATGTATTAATAAGCTTTTATGACAGCTACATATGGCAACATTGGAACTCTTTAAATGACCAGAATCAACAAAATTCACTTCGAGGGTACTGTAATGAGAAATATTATTAGACTAAGATGTGCAGAAAAGAATTGGGATGAGGCATATCCCATATTAAATACTGCCATTTGTCTTATATGTCATGTATATATGTATGGATCTAAAATAAATCAAGATAAAATTATCATGATTCTCTTAATATTTTGATAATATATTATGATAATCATAAAATGACATTTTCTCATTCTTTGCATATGATCATAATTTGATCATGCATTGCTACTGATTCATTCAAATCAAGCAGGATTGCTGTTACTAGTAAAGATATCTGTAAGTTCAGTGAATTGGAAACTCATTTAATTTTACATCTACTTGAATGTGTTTTGTACTGAACTTTTGGGCAAAACATATGGCTATTAGCTTACATGATAAGCAACTACAAGTGGTCATTCATCAGTTTCAACAAGAGTTGTATGGATGAGAAGATAAGTGGCTACAGGATCATCAAATGACATTTAGTCATTTATTACATCTAAGCATGCTATCATGGCATGTTTCCAGAAGCATTCAATTCAGATCAATCAGGATTGATGTTAGTAGTACAGATATCTACAAGTTCAATGAATTGGAAGATCATTTAATGTACATCTACTTGAATATAGATTTCTCTTTTGTGTTTGACCCATTAAAAGAAATATATATCTTGTAAAATCTCCCATTTGCTAAGCAATTATGTGCTGAAAATTTGTTCATTGTTATATTATGATATTTATTATCACACTTTGATCTAACAATACATACATATCTATGCTTCCACTTTTATCTCCTCTTTTTTTACGTCTTCTCTTCCTAACATAAAACAGAGATTCTTTTTTTTTTTTTTTTTCATTTCTATTCTTCAAAAT